TTTCAGTTTTGAAATTTGACTCTTAAATAAAGGCTGACATGTAAAAGGAAATTGAATTAGTCTGAAGACAGAAGCATCTGATATTGGCTAAGAACAAGCAGTTTCAGATAAAGAAATATCCTACAGATTGGATGGTTGGGCTGCACTCGGTGCGCCACTAAAATAATATTAAATTCAATGGATGTTATGCATTGTAATGTGTTATTAAAATGTATTGATTGCATTTATATCAATATTTGCATTTTAAAGACTTGTTAATTATGTGGCTATCTGCAATCTAAAGACAATAGCTTGTGGTCACAATATAATACGTTGAACAAGATAGGTCTTATTTTTTTGAAAAGATATGGATATGGAGTTCTATTATATAATGAAATAAAAATATATTTAGTTAAATTTCATTATATAATAGAACTCCCAATTATATACATATTCATTTGAAAAAAAAAATAAGGCCTATCTTGTTAAGGTAGTCACCGAGTAAATTTTCATAAGGGGGTGACTAAAGGGATACTTTTTAAAATTTTATTTGATTTTGATTTTAAAACCATAGGAAAAAAGACAAATACTATAATATTTGTAATTTTTTAAAAGGTAGATTTCTTTAATAAATCAATTTAATGGATTAGTAGGCATAAAATTGTGATAGCATTTAATGTTCAAAATTGGCTGTCACAGAGAGCCCCCTAAATTGAAAGTTCTTATATTCTAGGGCACTGTAAATGGACAGTTTATTGTAATGTTTACAATACAACAATGCAGGTTTAATAGTATTTCATCACTTGTAAGAGTTAAGTTTGAAGATTGACATGGTATTCATAGCAGATTATAATTGCATATGTCATATCCTCGTTTGCAATACTTGGAAATTATTAAATTCCTGTAAGAGTGGGAGCTGGATTGGCTGTGTTCTGATTTTACCTTATTTGTTCAGATTGTTTTTTTGTTTTGTTACTTGACAGAAAAATGACCATGTAGACACTTTAACACACAATGTACTCTTTAAATGTTGGACTGTTTTATTCACACTGCAGCAACGTACATTTGAAATGGAACCAAACTTTTTAGGCAGCAGTCCTTAGAACTTTGTTAAGGACCACTGTGCTATTTACTTTTGTAAATTGTAACTTGTTTGGGATAGAACCTTTAAACAGAAAGTAAGTTGACTGAAGAAAACATATTTTAAGATTTCTAAATAAGATACTCTTTAAGATTTTATTAGACCACCTCCAAAGAAATCGCAGCATGTTGTGAGGATTTTTAGCAGTGCTACATATTAAAGTGGGTGGTGGGGTATTTTAATATTTTGTGGCCTGTTAATAAAGTGTACTAGGCTTGACATTTCTTTAGTTTATAAAGGAATTCAAGGTGCTAGCCCTACTATGACTTCAGTTTTCAAGTATACACTGGTGCATCATTAATCATAGGAAATGCAAAAATAAATAATAGAGTTCCTTTGGATTTTTCATGTGAATACTTAAGTTTTCCTCTCTTTTTTATATATACAGCTGAGGTATTTTGATAACCCTTAACCTTTACTTCGACAAGGAGGTACAGTATAAAAATATTGCCTCAGTCTTCATAGAGCAGCTCTAAGAAAAACTTTGGTAGAATATTTGTTGGAAAAAACCAAAAGTTTCTATACAAACTAACTTAGCTCAGCCTCATTTCTATATTTTAGACCACCAATGTGTAAAATTAAAAGCACATGGATTTTGAATCACTAGAAAATGTTTTAATTGATTAACGTATGAAGGTAAAGAAATAAAGTAAGTTTTGATTTGTGAATGGTTCTATTCAATAAATTTTAATCCTCTGTGCCTGATAAAATCTTAGCCTCTCCTATGAATTAGCTTTTTTTCACTTACTTGTTTGTTTAAGTGTCTAATGTTTTGGTGTCCTTTTAACCAACTGGAACATTTTTGTTTTTAGGGAATCTTATATCAGATTAGAGTATTTGAGCAACAAGGGGAGAATATCAGTAGTTACTGGTTTAATAAATAAGCCAATTCATTTTATATTATCTATATAGTGATTCTAAAATTTGTAGATGTAAAATCATCCAGTAAAAATATTGTAAGTAGAAATATTCCTTTTACCACAATGTTCAAAATAGTTTAGAACAGATATATTAGTCTTGAATAATCTAAAATATTTGTTTCTAATAGAATTGATGTATTAATTTTACAAATTCTGATAGAAATACTCTGCTATGTATAACAAATTGTGGTTCATATAACTGTTGCATTTTCGTATTTCAGGGATTAAAATCACATTGAGGGAACTACTTAACTGACCCATTTTTATAAACTAGTGATTTAATTTTTTTGTGTTTAATCAGTAAGATATGCAATATATGATAGCATGTAGATTATTGGAAATACAACTCGCCTCTTTCTTAAGTAACTCTTAAAAAGAAGCAAGAGATGGATATTGAAGAAAAAATTGGTAGTTTAATCTTGTGAATTATTTATGCATAGGCTGAAAGTTCAGGTGCAAGTGATGGGCGTAACTCAGCTGGAAATTCCTCCTCACAAGCCATAGCGAATGGAGCAGGAGCTATGCAAGAACACAGTTCTTTTAAACAAGTCCCTGTCTACTATACTGCAGACCTTTTATATATGAGGTGTATTTATTGATGCTACCTATCCATAATCAATTACTGTGGTTAATTTTAATTAAAACCCATAGGCATTTCTTGTTGAAATGGAAAATAGGCAGAATTACTAATACATTCAGAATTCCCGATTTACAAGGGCACAATTTAAAGGCTATATACATTTCCATCACATATAAACTGATTGAGTTCAATGTTCCTTTCCTAATCCTAATATCATTTTATTTGCCAATGTGCCTAATAAAGAAAATATGACTGAATATAAAAGCTTTAATAGATATATTACTAAACTGAATGCAAAAGCATCAATTCAGAATCCATTGCTAAATGGACACAATGCATTTCTGATAATAAGAATCAGAGCGCTTTATTAATACACATCAGCTGTCAGTGTCTAGTATAGCTAACTTAGCTTGCATATATTTATTTATTTGGAGAAGTACTTAAGAGAAATAAGCTTTATTTTGTATGCTATGAACTAATTGTCAGATGAAGCATTTTTTTTCTCTGAAAATTCATTTTAAATTGGCTTCATCCTCTTTATTTAAATGGTAAGTATCTGGAAAGTTGCTTGGCCCATATCTTTCGCCCAAAAAGAGAGGAATTAACAGTCAACAATATACGTTATATTAATTTGAATTATCAAAGTTTTCCTTGTGGATATTAAAAGCAAAAACAATTTCCTATACACAGAAACTATATTTTCTATTCTAAACCTGGAATAATGTTATTTGTAAGCAATTTCTTTTGGTGCTGTTGGTGGTGGGGAATCAGTTGGAAAATACCTGCTGCATTTTTGTCTTACATGCTAGTTGCCCATTACAGTATAATTCCATGTGATGATGATCTTGCAGAAACTAAGTTTTGAGGCATGTGACTATCCGGCTCATCATTAAAGCTTGGCATATCAGAAATTAAATAGGTCCCTCTGTTCCATGAGTACAAGGCTTGCTTCATGTCTAATTATGCTCAGAGATTGCAGGGGATTCACATGCTTCAACAGGAGCCAGTTGAAATGTGTGAAGTAGGAGGGGTAAACTGAACTCCAACCATCAGCTAGATACAATACACGTTCAATGTAGGTGTACGCTGTGACAGCATTCCAAGCATCGGGGTTTTTTTTCCTTAGAAGGAAAAGGAAAATCACTCACTTTCAGCCCTAACGTAACTTTCAGCCAAGATGGACAGCATTAAGAAAATATTGTAAGTGTTTTGATTTTGTTCCCTTTCTAGAAGTTGATATTGTTTAGATACTTTTGCAGTATTTTCAAAGCAAAAAGGAAAACAATCTCTCCCTCTACTGCTCCAAGGACTATGAACAGACTTTGGCCTTAGGCAGCTCTTTACTACATCTTTTGAAACTAAGCTGTATAGCAAATACTACAGAGATCAGTGAAGCTATTCAGACATGTTATGCATTCTTAAAATAGGCAATCTTTTATTTCATATGGTATTAATAAATGTACTGACAAATTCAAAAATATCAGAAATGGGAAGGATCAAAGAAGTTTCAGAGATGCTGTTTTGTGACTTAAGAATTTTCCTCACGTACAGACAGACTTTGAAATAGGTGGAGTGAGATCTTAATTAACTTTTTATCTCATATTTTTAAGTGGAAGTTTTAACAGATATTTATACAAAGTTTCCTAAAATGCATTATTACAATTGTAGAATCTTTCCGATCGGCATCTTTGCTCTGCTTTAGTGCTCTATCATTTTGTTGCCAGTGATTTTCTTAGCTTGTGGACATATTTGTTTAGAACTGCATAACAGACTCTCTGTAACTTTCAGTGGATGCGAAACAGCATTTTATGCAGTGAACAAAAACAAATGCATGAGATCCTCAATTATATCATACACTTTCGACATGCCAATTAGCTGCTACAGGACACTTGATTGTAATTAAATTTTAATTGTGGATTCAGCTTGCCAATGTCTGTGATTTACTGAAAAATTATATAAGGATTGGTTTTGCCTTTAACAATATCATCAGATATTGGGAAATATTAAGTGAGTCCTGTTTGCCTGCTGCAGTAACTTTACTGCTTAGTCATGGTAAACCTCTGAAATAGTGGGCATCTTATTCTCTACTCTTTCATGCACTATGCTCAATATTGACAGCATCATACTTTGAACACTGATCTTACAACCACGCAGTGGTTTCAGTGTCTGCTTATGATTATACAAGAAAGATAAAATCTGGCCGCTCAGGTGTCTATAGTACAATGTGTCAAATTCAGTTAATATTCAAATTAAAAGAACACTGTCACTGTTTGTACTCAAACCAAGTTCATTTGGATTAAAAAGTTTAAACACACACACATAGCAAACTATTTTTGAAAATCAGCAATATTTCATAATGTTTGAAAACTCAAAGACTTACCCCAGAAGAAGTTTTGCTGACAAGGTGTCACTGAGCTAAAAAGACTGTTCGATGCCATTGCTCTCCCCTCCTGCGGGTGTGTTTCTTCTGGTGCAAAGAATCTTTGAAGCCTTATACTGAAATCAGAAATCATAGCGAAGATCCATTAGGTTTTGCAGTATGTCTGGTGCATATAGAATCTAGATGTATTTCCATTCTGACTACAGTAAAAAAAGCAAACATGCTGCATTGTAATATGCAAAAAAGTAAGGAAACATCAGAAAAAGAAAATGAACAACTATTTGACAGGTCTAGAACTACTGAAACAGAATGTGGTTTGAGAGCACTTACTGACTCTGATGGTCTTCGTGGCTGTTGGTGACCTGTTGAGATTAACCATTTAAAAACCAAAGGCTTCTTGCTGTGTCCTCTTGGAGAAAGTTTGCACCGCACTTGTGGTTCTGTGGTTGTTTGTGAGGCGAATGAAGCATTTACACAATCCAAAAAAGCAAAAGCTTTTAAAACTCCTTTTTTTTGCAAGCCCTGTTACTGGAGAGACAGAATCATGTGGTTTGTGACATCATAGAAGCCAAGTAAAGTGGGACTGCCCAGCACTGTGGCTTTTCCTTTCCTCCTCCTTTTAAAGTTTGACAAAAGGCCCGTGGTAAGGCCCTTTCTGGAATCCAGAAGGATCTAGCTTTTTAATTTTTGTGACTCATGAGGATTTGGAGAGAATACAAATTGCTGAAAGAGCTTCAATTCCTGTGCCGTTGAAGCATATGGACAGCAGAACTTCATTTATACTGTTTCCCTGCCTGCTTCTTCTTTCTCTCCCTCCCCCCCCCAACCTCTTCTGCTTCCTTATTGTGTCTGTGGAGAAATAAACCAGAATTGGCACAAATGTCTGTGTGAAATTCTGAACAACAGTGATGATTTACAATAATTTACATATTTGGATTGTATCTCGATCTTGGGGTCTGCTTCACATTTGCTGGATAGCTGGATTCCTTCTGTTTTTCTTTTTCTCCTTGTCTTCCCGAGCTTGTGAATCTGTAACTCATTGTGAGAAACTTTACCTTACCTCAAGTTCTCCTAGCAGACTGCCTACTGGGCTGTGTTTTTGGGGCTGTAATTGGCTGTCATTGAAGTGTTAGTCTGGGGATTCCTGAAATCATGTCTGTCTGTTACATTCTCCTAAAGTTAGCTGGCAGCTTTCTGTAATGAACATTAAATGCAATTATATGCAGCCTTTTCTGTTTCCTAGAAAACCTATCATCTTTACAGTGTGACTTACTTGCATATTTTAGAAAGAGGACACACTATGTTGTATTCTGATATCTTTCTGGTAACTAATGTGAAACAATTATATATTTAATGTGTTCTATTAAAAACAAAATATTACTTACTGAATGTTGAAGAAGAGATTTCAGTATAAGCAGATTTCAAAGGCCAATGGGAGATGCTTTATTTGCGTTGAAACATAAATCTGATTCATAGGCATTGCTTAGGCAGTTTGTCATATAAATTTATATGGTCTTTTAAAGTGTGTTAAAATACAATTATCTATCAAAAGCTTTAACTGTATTAATGCACATAGTTAAAATGAAGCTGGTATTCTGTCTGTAATTTAGGCCTCAGAATAAATTGCAACATGCTGTGTAGAGTAAAGAATATTGTGCACAGACATTGTGTGTTAGCATTATTTGCTTATTTGTGTTTTGGAGAAAATTGAAAACATCTTTCAGAAACTGCCTAATCCCTGGCACTATTCCTGTGTTTCTGTGGGTAATCTTGTTAATATGGTCATAGACCCATTGGCTCTCAATACTAATATCTTTAGTAATTTAACTGAGGACAATAGCTTGCAAAATATATAAAAAATAGTATTTTCATTTTTAATTACTGAGATGCATAGAACATTACCTTTTGCCTTCTGTTGAAATCCAAGTAGACAAGAGAATAAAACTGGCAGGAAAAGATTTTATGTAGGGCTATAATGCATAAGGGATGTGGGGACATAATAAATAAAAAGGAGAAAGTAAGTTTAAAAGAAAAAATAATGAAAACAATTAATTTTTGAAAAATGTCTGATTGGATTTTTATATCTTACATCTATTTATGAATTCCATAACTTTAATATTCCTGTATATTAAAGAATGTGCTAAAGAAACAAAGATATAAAACTATGCCAATTAATTATGTCACATGTGAGGGAATTTTGTAAATTTTACTATAATAGCAATTTTGGATTTTAGATTTTAATTTGTTACATTCCTATGCATGAATGAATATTTGAAATAAGACCTAATAGATGTACATAGGATTCTGAGTCTACACAGAAGTACTCCTCTCAGTTCTATAGGAGAGTCTCAGGTAAGTCTATAGGATTACTGTGTTAATGATCTAATTTAATTCATAAGCATCAGTTTACACGTGCATATAATTTTCTTTGCTGAAATAATTGGTAAATAATTTTTTTTTAAAAAAATCTTTAAAATCCCAAATTTGGGACAAAACTCTAGAAATCGTACTTACTTTTTGACTAAAAAAGTCTAACTTAGATTTCCTTTTATATCTTGATGTTACAGGAATCTGAGTTCTTGCAACACTCTCACAATATATTTCTTAAATATTTTCCTTAACTTTATTTGAAATATTTTGGGTATATTTTTTTGTATTTCTGAATCTGACTATAAGAAACATTTTTTACTATCTTGTGCTGTTTTGTTTTGCATTTATTTGTTGTATTGGATTTCTTTAGAATTCTCACCATACCAGTAACTATCATAAGAAAACACAATGTTTAAAAAGAAAAGAAAACTTCTCATGTGTCTTTAAATATAACTTGTGATCTGTATTCTCTAAACTTGTAACTAGAGAAATGGGTGAGAGATAGACAATGATCCCTTTTGTTTGAAAAAGATCTATATCAAGGTGGATTTGAAAGAAATTGTGGTAACCATGATTTTCCACAATTTGTGAGGAAAATGATGAAGAAAACATTAACAGCAATCTCTTTAGTAGGTTACAGCGTGGCTATTTAGAATCTGGTGTTGCAATTCATTGGGAAGCCTGGAAAAAGCAGGTTTTCTTGCTTATATCTTTTTCTTCATCTAAAAATAAATATTCAGTTTTCTGGGTTGAATTGGCCAAAAGATGTCTTTGGCAATGAATAGGGAAAAACTTTGGTCCAACTTATAGTAATAGAAATTTGTCATCTGATATTAAAAAAGCACAAACATAATCAGAGTAATCAGTTTTATTTTGTTATAAAATCACAAATAAGGTGATGTTTATATTTATATAAGCTCTTGAATCACAAAATATCCAAAATATATTTAGGAAACCTATAGTCTTTACTTGTATGAAATAGTTAAAAGTGAGTATACACAAGTATTTAGGAAGAGTGCACAGTATAAAGCATATATTTTAGAAGGTTTATTTGTACTGTAGACATTTATTTTTATAATAGATTTAAACAGAATTTCTTGCATCGGTAGCATATAGATGATTTTCACCACAATAAATAACATAACGACACGACTATTAGATGGGTTTTCACCAACTTCCAGACATTGCTCTTTTACATTTGAATCTATCAAATATAAAGTCAATTATTGCATTATTTGAAAGGTGTAATATTGTAAAGCATAACTTTGTTCTGTAACCTGTCTTCAAGTCACTCTGCTTTCCCTTAATTTATTTAGCAAACTACGCTCAAACATAACATGTATAATTATAGTATTTCAATATTTTGCATCAACATGTTTTTGTCAGAACTTGAAGTTACAATTTTAAAATAGCTTCAATATAATCAGCAGTGCTAGGCTCCCATTAAAAAGCAAATACACTTTTTCCTTTGCCAGTGAAGCAGTTTTTCATATATGTAGCTGCCTAAAGAAATGATAACATTTAAGAGCTCCACAATCTGTTTTACTACATAGTATACAAATTTGAAGATGTTCCACGCATGCCAATAAATATTGTTGGAAAAATTTTCTGGGAGTGCTCTATTTTGTTATGATTTATTCTTCAGTATGGAATAATAACATTTTTAATTTAAGAAGAGTTAATCTAGAAATTTATAGGATGTATACTAGTGCTAATATATTAATAATCTTTTCCCATTTTGCCTTCATTTAATGATGCTTGTAACCTACAAGAAATAAAGAAAGGCTTCCCCAGAAGTTCCCTTTTTTTAAAAAAAAATTCTGCAACAGTGTGAATTAGATTAGTCTGAGAGATAATGAATGGTTCAGAATCACTTGGCAAGTATCATAGCTAAATGGGGATTTGACCCTGTGTTTCTTTGGTCTATGCACAATATCACAGTGGCTTTCTTGCTACATTACATTAGCCACTTGGAATTAAAGATTAGTCACGTCTAAAACATGTTCCCTATAATAGATTAAGGGCTTATTTAAACAATAATTCTTTTGTCTTCTGAAATTGTTTTCTTTTGCTTTCTATTAGAAGGTAATATGTCTTCTTTTTGCAGATACCAAAATTGTTTTCAGTTGGACAAAAGAGAATGCTTAATCTGTTTTTCTGTTTTCAGAATATAATTTACGATGGAATTGTAGCTGATTAAAGTAATGCAGAAGAATTTGAGATCTATCTGCTGAGGTGGAAATCTCCAAGAATATAGATCTGAAAAGAAAAGGAAAACATCAATATTAAATTTTGAACCAGCAATGGAAAAAATAATCACAAAACCCTTTTTTCAAGCTTATCTTTGCTTGTTCAGAAAATCCATGATGGGAAATAGGTTGATTGTCTGCTTGAGCTGTCTCCAACCTTCATATGTTAGACAGAATGAGATTATAAATTTAGTGTGGAGGCAGTGGCTACAGTTTGCTTAAATGATGAATGAACGTATTGATATGGAAGGAGAACTAGCCCATTCTTCCCCTATTTAGGATATTATAATATTTCTTTTTGAATCTGATAAAAACAAAACTACTCTTAACAATTCTGGATGATGCCTAGTTGGGGTCCTCCAGAATTGTGAAGAGTAGTTTTGTTTTTATCAGACTGGAATAAAAGTTGGAAAAGAGAGAATACACCGTGTCCTAGAGCAGGTTTAGGAAAACTGTCCATCAAAGTATTGCTGAGCTATAGTATCCAGAAATCTAAACAATGGCTGTTTAGAGCTGCTAGGAGCTGTAGTTCAAAACATACAGGCTTCCCCAGAGTAATCCTTGATCATCTGTCACAACCTGTTTAAAAAGAAAAACAGGAATTTTTGAGAAAGTCTTAGAGTAACTAAGCCCTATTAAGTTTGATTAGGAATTTTAAAATTGCTCCTCAACAACTTTTGAGTGAGTAAAAATAAAAAAAATCCCCAACTTGTCTTCTGCTTTATTTGACAAATTCTAAGGGAACAGAACCATTTTAATGGCTATCATAAGAATAATCAGTGTGGTGTTAGGAAGAAAGAATCATAGTATTACAATGATTGTATATATATACTTCTACTACAATAGATACTTTGGTTTTTTAATCAATTAAGGTTTTAATAGCAATGTTTAATACTAGTGGGAAGAGTTTTATCTTTTAAAGAAGATGTGATTCTGCACATTGAATTGTGCCAAGCCATTTTCTCATCTCACCTTTCGTGCCATCAGTCTAATGGCACAAAAGTTATATTAATATCTCTGCCTCAAATAAACTCTATAGGAATGAATAAGTTCTAAAATGTAGAAGTTATGTGCTATATTAGAGAAAATAGTAAAATTATTTTTCCTATCTGTTGCTCTTAAGAAATATTTTATTCTATATCACTGTATTTTAGAATTTGTGCAGTACGTTAGCATAGCTTTTATTTAAATATAACAAACTGTTACCTTCAGAAACTTAAGCCATTATCGCTTTTTGCTTCTTTAGTCTCAGTTTTCATTGAAGAAAAAAAGTGTTTTGCACAAAATATGGGAAATGTGTCTCACATAACAGTTGAGGATGTGGCTAGGTTAAAACAGGAAACTGGTACCCACAATGCAATGTTACTTACACTACCACTTAATAAAATTTATTTCAAACATGCTACTGACGAAACCAAAGAAAAATAATACCCAAACTATGCTAGTTAGTACTCTAAAAATATATATTCCAAGAAAAAGCAAGTAATCTCCTGAGAGCCTTTTTGCATGGTGAAATTGATTACTGCCTGTAATTAAAGTATAGGAATTTTCATAGCTGGAGAACTGAATTGTTCTTTTGATAACAGCCACACATATGTAAAAAATAAGCTGTACTTTTAATATTCATCGCAATGGTGGAAGCTGGCATGAGACAGGAGTATCACAACTAGTTATTCAATTTAAGTATTTAGTATTTTGAGTTTATTTACTCTGAGTTTATTTTATTTTGCTATAAGGAAAAACAGTTCATGCACATCCCAACTATTTTCATCAGTTTGAAATATTCTTAATTTTGAAGAAACCCCTTCAAAATTAATCAGTCTTGTGTCTCTAACATATTACTGGACAATCAAATTATTTTAATAAGTGATGCAGGAAGTATCTTCATGTCTCATGCTGTTTGTTTGATATAAGTTAATAAATTAGCAAATATCCAACTAGAGGATAATTATTGTAGCAGGCTAGGGTTTTTTCCTCCTTTCTTTCTGCACAATCATGTACTGCACGGGTGCTAGGACACACACATTAGGTGTGATTCTCTTATGAAAGGGTTTCCTCTATAGTTAAAGAAACCTTATCAGGAGCAGCTGCTCAGAGCTGTGGATCCTATCCATGGACTCATGGTGGTCTGCTGAACAGCGTTCTTCAACTTTGACAGGTGAGACAGAGACTCTCCAGTGCCACTGCTTTTGGATGACTCTAGCTGTGGTTGGAGAAACTGCATCTTGCCAGAATATATGGGTAAGACCACACACAGCCTTTAAAATAGCCATTGTAAGCTTATTTTTAGGCAATATTCATGACAGTTTTTAAGTTGCATGCCAGTTTCACTGCTGCTAGCGAGTTTTCATTTATTTTACTAATTGCAATTGCAGATTTCAAACTGCAATTGTAAAATTACCTCACGGTATTTGCACTAGGGAAAAACATAAACTAATTTTTTAAAGGTTCAATAGAGATTCAAGTTGAAATATTATAGCTGAGTATTTGTTATTCATAATTTTTGGTGAAGGATTTTATAGTCAATTCTTGTCTTGCAAAGTGTAATCAAGCAATGCACATTTGTCCTGACTTCACATTTATACATGTTCCAGATGCTTTCAGTGCATTAGCAAGTAGGTAGATTTAGGACTGAAATCTATTAAGTTCAAATATTAAAAGGAACTGGTTGCACATTTTAACAACTGGGCATTGTTTCTATATCTTTGTTACATAGGATGATTTTTAAGCCTCAATATGACTAGCTGCAGACTATATACGTTCTTTTTATAAAGAGATACTGCTTTGTGTATCTAAGAGACCTGTGTGGTCCTTCTGATT